CAACATTGTGGCCAAGCACCACACATTCGTCCACTTGTAATTTTGACCGCTTCAATGACATCCCCTGCCCTGAGCTTTGGTAAATACTGTTGGGGAGCCGTTATGACCACAGCTCTAAAATCATCCACGATTTCCGCCCATACATCATTGTCCTGATCCACTGAGCAGGTAACCTTCACCGAGATGAGATCACCAGTGTTGCGAGTGGGTAAATCCCATTTCTCATCTTCGGCTGGGTCTGCTTCTTCCCCTTGTTTGTCATCACCTGTCCCCGATGATGACCTCGAACCAGTAGGCTATAATGAATGTCCGAGCCATTTATAACTACCACGCATTTCTCGCGGACCTCGGCAATAGGACAATCAACTGGATCATCGACGCTCATCAAACCCATGTCGTGGACACCTACATAGAACCGTGCCCAGAAAGTGCCACGTTGGAGCCACACATACGCTGTGCGCTTAGAGTGGACTCGCATTTCGTACACGTCACCAACTAGAACTTCAGGCACGGTCCACTCACCTGGGGGATCCTCTAACTCTTCACTGTCAGGGGGCACGATTACCGGTATGCCTGAGGCAGCCACTGGTTCAGTCATCATCCTCGCTCATGCAGATATTCGTTGCTACCAAAGAGCATTTTGACAGAAACCCTTGAAAACGGGTCTTCCTCCGTCGTTGAGGTTCTGAGCCTATAGGTGCAGTACTCTTCTTTAGGGTAAAACCATATTTCACCTAGGTGGCTTGACCACAACTGCGAGGCAAAGTGAGGCCAGATTGAGTATTAGCAGAATTCTTTAGATCACCAGTAAAAATTGCAGCAGCTTGATTACTGCTAGAGGCAGGTTGATCTGCCGGTTTAGTCTGGTCTTTTACCAGAACATTCCCCTGAAATGGAGCTGGGCCAGGGGCCTCCAACCCACTAGAACCCAGAGGCTGTATTACTGATTGCGTAGAGCAAGGCGCTTCGGGCAATACTTGCACTGCAGGTCGAGTCGGCAGATGATTACTTGGGTCCTGACCTACTGGGACACCCTGAGCAGGAGCAACGTACTTGGGTTTGCTGGGGTCCTGCTGAATGTAGGCGACACATAACTACTGCATATCTTTCCAATCCCCTACTTTCTTCAAATGGCTTAGAAGTTTAGGGCAATCGTAGGCAATGTCTGTAACAGGTTTAAACAACCTGCAAATTGCCTCGAACAACTTGGCTTTCTCCGGGCACGTTTGAAGCTTAGTACCCTCAGTACCCAATGTTGTATCCTCATCAGCCATCCACTCCCATATAACTCCTTCGATAAACGAACCTCCTGGGGCAGCATTGGGGACTTGTCTACTAAACCCAGGCGCCAGAACTGCTGCCACATACCACAAAAACCAATTACCAAACCCTTACAAGGAGGGTTACCACCATTCAACTCGTGGTAGCTGGTAGCGGTCGTGGACGGTTACATAGTACCCAGCTGTCTGTCTGGCAAGGAGCCCCGCACCCGCTGAAACAGAGGATGACCTTCAACATGGGAAGTCATGCTTTTGATGATCCGATTAAAGGACGTCGCCTCGAATTGACTTCCTATCACGTCGATCTCTGGCATGGCCCTTTGACGCTCAGGCCTTAACAACCTTTGACGTGGTGATAATTCGGGTTGCACGGGCGCACTTTCCACGGGTTCATGAGGCTTGTCATCAGGCCTACTTTTGGACACAGGACTAGTATCCGTTTGACTTGTGGTGGTGGAGGCCTGTAATACTGCTGGAGTCCTTTCAGAGGGGTTGTCTGTTTGTTCCTTGACAACACGAGTCGAATCGTTTGCTGTTCTGACAGAATCAGGCATAGCACTCTTGACTGATTGCCTGTGGGTTATCTCCAGACAGCACTTGGACTTCCTTTTCCACCACTGGGACGGACTGTTCCTTTTCTGCACATCTTGTAAAGAGGCTTAATGACCTGGGGGTAATATCACCGGAGATGCAGGGGGCATTGGAGGGGTAGAGGCGGCCTCCACTAACACACATAGGCAGGCCAGGCGGAGAGGAAGGCTGGGCATTGGCTGCATGAATACCATCTACCCCTGCTGATGCAAAAATGGGGTTTCTTCAACCCTACGGTTGTCAGCCACCTCGGCTTCTCTTTGCGCTTCAAGGGCTGCCTGTAGTACCTGAATCTGTCTTTCATAATCGACCGACCTTTGCTGCACCTGCTGTGAGTTCATCGCCTTCAAAGCCGCTCTTCCAATCATATGAGCTCGTAGTTTAAGATTCCACAAGCGATGTTCATCGGTAGTCATCGGGCGGTACTCAGCTGGGCAGCCACCGTGACTACCTCGTTGGCTTGCACCCCCTACTACCTGACCAGTAGAAAACATATCAGCACCCTCGGGATGACTCGAACCAATCATTTCAGGCTGAGTGGCCCTCGGCCAATTGGCACAGACGTGGAACGATGCAGAGCTCCTCCAAACCTCGCAAGACCACTGATGGTCGACGGGCGCAGGGCATGAGTGGGCGTACCCGACTGAATAGAGGCCGTTACCTGGACCCCTATCAACCAAGGCATCACCCGCCAAGCTGAACCCATAGGATGGGGCATATTACTACCACACACCCTAACATTTTCAGGCAAGACTCCGCCAGAGTTTGCACAGTGACCTTCAACGATCACAACGGGGCGTGAGGCACAGCCGGGATTACCGAGGCAACCAGGGCCGGCAAAACCTGCGGAACACCGAAAACCTGCGGGATTTCCCACCCCACACTGACATGCCCCTGGGTGCGGCGTGCACATACCGCTTATCCCAGTAACAAACTGTCCGATATTACCGCTGGACTGACACTGCGCACCTACCACACACGGTGCCAAAGCCTGGCCACAAGCTTCATTACCGATTTGTAACACTGAAATCCACCCAGCATCCTCAAAATTCGAACCTGCAAGAACCTCGAGAAGCGGGGGCCCAGGTCCATTTGACACATACTGAAGCTGGTTGTGACAGTGTGGGTCACCTCCCACTGGAATACCACCAACTGAGGGTGGCAACAAAACGTTACCGGTGCAGCCTTGTCTGGGTCCGGGCGTCCCCTTCAACAGACTTGACTCCACTTGGATTGCCGTAGTCGGCAGGTAGTGCGTACCCAACAGGAACTGTACAGGCGCCCTCCGCCAAAGGGACACCCATGCCTGGGGTACCGCTACGTTTCATAAGACCGTGAGTTACTGTATCACGACCTTCTTGCCTCAAGGCGCAGGGACTACCGACTCCCATACTGGAAAGATCTGCATATGGCTGCGCAGCGCGTTAACTTACATGGTTGTCCAGGGCTTCCACCAGAAACCCCAGAAAAGGAACGACCCTGAGGGCTTACCGTTAGCTTTGGACCTTCCCGGCCTGTAGGACCGTTTGCCATACCGCTTTGCTGAGGAGAAGCGCAACACGTGCCTGCAATTGGGCTCATCACCTGCTGACACTAGGGCTGCACACAAGTGGGGCACTTAACCTGCGGTTGGACACAAACCTCGCGGTCCTTTTTGCTATGGCGCGAGAGGAAGTAAGTACGCTCTAAGAACGGAAAGAAAAGACACGGAACGATGTCACTGAAATTAAAACTGAATATGTACATACTACCTTTGCGCAGAGTACTTGCGCATCTCTCTACTACGGTCCGAGACAGCTACGGGCATGCATACGATACATGCAGCACATGTTCTCCTGTTCATGTACACGCACAAACCATTAAAGCCCCATGAAAAATGCAGTAATTAAGATAAACAGAAAGACTGGGATCCCTGGAATTCTGGGTCGAGGTTGTTACTGTTCTTGCGCCTCCTGCAGCTTGATCTGCTTCTCCAGGCTGGAGCTGATCTGGAAGCGGGTCGTCATGGACCCAAAGAAGCTGCTCTCGAAGAGGCTTTTCAGGTACAAGCCCCGAGACCTCGAACTTCCAAGACGCCAAAACTCCTAGTAGCGTTCTCGCAGCCTCAGCTCGGCACTCACGAAAGTCTTCTTGTCGTTCCCGCTCGCTGGCCATGTACTTCTCCACCGCCTCCTCGATCTTCTGGCGCTCCGCCTCGGAAATGGCCACATCGTCCTGAGCCAGGTCGTGCGTGGTGCAGCGTGCCACACAGCGTGCTGCGGTATGCCAATATGTCTCTTCAAAAAAATCTCATGCTCAAACTCCACATCTGCCAGGAGTCCAGCACCTCAGACTTGCCGAGTCTCACACCGTTCACACATGTTCCGTTCACACTCTAGACTTCGCGCCCGGCGCCGGGGCCGGCACGTGTTGCCACGTCTCGGCAAAGCGCCGCCGGCGCGTCTTGTCCCGCAGCGCCGCTCCAGCCGAAAGGCCTCGCATGGCTCGGGAAAGCCAAACGGACAGAAAACTTGTCGAAAATTCGGCATTCTGCCTGAAGTTTGCTCCACCAGAGCCGCCTGGAAGCTGACGACCTGGCAGGCTGATGACAAAGATCGCCTTTGTGGAGCAAGCGCGTAGTGCTTAGACCTCGTCGTTCAGCCGGACCACCTTCAGCCGCCTCTCCTGGCATCTCGCGGTAAGTACTCTCAGCACTCGCGAGTGCCTTCGTGATGGGTTCTGCTCTCCTCAAGCAAGTCCAGAGGCTCACCCGAGAAGCGTCGAAGCGCTTTCTCCACAAACCTCGCAACGGCTCGAAACCCAGGTGTGGCTCAGACAATGGCTGAGGCACTCTAAGAGACATAATCTGAGGCAGAAGCTTGGACGTCTTGCGGCCTTCCTGGCAGAAGCGGCAGAAGCTGGCAGAAGCTGGCAGAAGCATGAGCATGGGTGGATCAAGCTGATCAAGTCAAAGCCAAACTGGTCCTTGCCAAATTGCTGGTCGAGCTCTCGGACAACGAAAAGACCTCCCACAGCTGCTAGCAGGAACTTGAACACGGCGAAGACGCCATAGAGCAAAAGCGCCCCGAACCCGAGGAGGAGCAAAGAAGGTGTGGACTCCGAGGCATCACCGTCTTGGCCCGTTGCTTTCTTGATCAGCTGAGCCAGCACATCCTCTGGTGACTGTGGGTCCTCGGCGAAGGCGGGAGCAACTGGAGCCCAAACCAGCCAGGATAGTTGCCAGGGTACCTCGGACCAGCGTAAGCGCAGAGGCACAAAGCAGGTGGTTCTGAAGCGTTGTGAGGCCAGGCGTCGCTGCCCTTGGCACGTGGCGCCGGCCGTGGCGGCGCAACGAAAGCTGAACCGAGCAGAGCGAGCAGCCCGCTCGCAAGGCCAAGACCGGCGAAGCCCAGCGCTCGGCCCAGCGCACGGCCGGGCTTCCCTCGAGCCATGCTGACTCCATACGGCAACTCATGAGAAAGGTCCATGCCGCCATCCTGCCCCTGTGCATGACATTCAGAATTTCACTCAGTGGTACCAGTGCCACCTTACAAAACTGCAAAAGATAGGATGTTGATGGAGGCTGGGCGAGCGACGAATAGCTTTGTGGTCCAGGGCTTCTGCTGAAGGCTCCTGGTCATGCTGAGTCATGCGAACGGGTGGGCCGGTGGGCTGATGATGCTCGCCAATGATCCTTACTACAACTTCAGTGCAGACTCTCAGTATATCTCCATTTACATCTCTCTGTTCCATTTCCTGGCGAGCACGAGCTCAACAGGCTGAACATGCACTGAGCATGCGCTGAGCAGTGGTGTCCTGGACTCGAAGATCTGAAGCGCCTCGCGGTGCCCATGACACCTGTTCTTTCCACATATCACTTAGAAAAACTGATGCGTTGTTTGAGGATGCGTGGCATCATGCAGGGGCCTCCTGGCACTCGCCGTTCGCTGACATAGGAGTAGCTGACAGCAAGAGCTTGCAAGAGCTGGCAAGCACTGCCTGGAAAAAATCTGTGAAAAAACGCTTGAGGTGAGAACGGACTCGGACCTCCGTCAGACCGAATGTACTGGAGGGTATCTCCTCATTGCCATGCCCCCATGCTGCAGTGACAGTGCAAGAGCCGCATGTCTAAGAAGACGGTAAAATCCAAAATTTTCCAAAATGAATATGTATGCTTCTTTGGACGTGCCGGAAAAATCTGCGGAAAACCGATCGAAGGCCAAACTTCAGTCAAACCCTAAAGTGATAAGTTCTCTGAAGCCACCAAGGTTCTGCAAAGGGCCGCGGGGTTGGGCGAACGTGAACGTACAAAGCCATAGACTCTATAGATCAAACCCTGGGGAGAACATTTAAAACAAACTTCTTTGAAGTCACGAAGGTTCTGCGATAGGCGGGGGTGCTGAGCAAACTAGGGCCGAAGGCCTGGAGCTGAATACCGTACAGGTAGGATCATCTAGGTATCTCACCTGAGGCATGCACTGGGAGCCTGGGTGAAGCTCACCTGCCTTGACATCGCGATGTATCGCGATTCAAGCTCATTCAAACTGGCATTCTGTGACCCAAAAGCCTTCGGCCAAGGCCTGGCGTGTGGCCTAAGCTTGCAGTGGCTCTGAGGCTCTGGGATCTCGCTGGACTTGCGGCATGCTGGGGCAGTTTGCTGGGGTGCTTGCAAACCCTCAAAGGCGGTGAGCTTTCGGGCACGGGTCGCCCAAGCCCGGCAGTCATGAAAGCCACTCGTGGAGAGCGCGGCCTCACCAATCTCTGGAAACATGCTCGTACATATTTGTGTTTGTCCTTGATGCTCTGTGCTTGGCCGCGTGCCTCAACGGTAAGTCGCCCTCGGCACTGTGAAAACGAAAGCGCCCTTCCTGGTTGCCAGCACGTGATGCCAAACTTGAATTCACCCTGCGACGGCTCCGTGGAGGGCACGCAAAGCGTTGAAATTTTGAGGTCAAGCTGCGACGGCGTCTGTGAACTTTTCCTTCCACCTGCTGAAAGCGCAGACTTTGATAGAAAGTGAAAACTTAAAAAGAAACTCCTAAACACTCCAACTCCAACGAACAAGTTTGCCTGGAGCACTTCTCCGCGCTTTCGATGACCGCGCGGGGCGAGCGGGGCCAAGGCCGTGCTCGAGCACCTCAGAGGCAGCGCAAACAAACAAAACTTGAAAAAGAGTAAAAGAGCGAAGACTCCTCGTTTCAAGCAGCTTTAAAAGCACTTTCTCTCACAGCATTCGGCAGCTTCAGGCCAGCACTTGCATAGTAGGAGACGGGCCTAGAGCATTCGCCGCATTAGCCATTAAAACAGACCTCGTCTCTGGGAACCACACCCTGGAGTCACCTGGCAGTCAACACACGTCTCTGCAGTGCAGTTTGTGAACACCGGTTCTGTCCTTTGTCATTACTTTCTTCTTCACTTTGTTCTATACTTTTTGGCCTTGTGTCGGGAATGGATAGTTTTCATAACATGTTTCACTTCCCGCGGCCTGTGTCGCCAAAAGTTTGCTACACCATCACGGAGATTTGTGGAGCCACGGCGTCAGGGACCAAACCGAAGTTCTCAAAAAGGACACGTCTCCTCAAGGTCCCCATGACTTGGGAAAGAAGAAGGACTTTCCCTCCATAGCAGATGCCTTTTTGGACGCATCGCAATGCATCCCATGAGGCAGGCAAAGGATGAGCAGTGGGGCCGCGTTGGAAGTTCAGGTTAGCTCAAGGGGGATAACACCGGTAGGTAGACCCACGAATCAGCTCAAACGTAACGGATCAGTACGTGGTGCGAGCTGGATCAAGGGCGCCCGACGTATCGGATCAGGGCAGTGTCGAATCGGATCACACGAATCGGATCAGTAAGCCGGATCAGGTCCACGGATCTCACGAAGTGGATCAGCGAACAGGAGCAGGTATGACGAGAGGGTCCCCGCTTCTGAACCAGGGATACGAAAGTTTAATCGTTGCAGAAAGTGCGAATTGAA